TTCCCTACCAATCTGGACGCCCTTTATTTCTTTTTCTAGCCTAACTGCTCTGATAACCAGCAATTTTAATGAATGTTTACGTAGGCTAACTGCACAAGAGGATGGGAATGATACGGCACTATTGTTTACAATAGAGTAAGCATCAGCAAGTTTTATTTTCTGGTGAGTTTTATTCCCAGGAATGGTGACAACATTGCTATAATAGAGTTTTTAGGGGTCCATATTACAGTCAGGATAAAATACAACAAAGTTTAATGATGAACATCATGGCAATGTGAAGAAGATGCCCTGAAAGCAGTCAACTTATATAGATTTGTTAGAAAGAATTGCCTAAGGCATATACAGAATTTAATATTTTCAACATTTGCTATTACTTTTCCAGAGGAAGATGTGTAGCAAAGGAGTTGGGATTATAAGACAGTTAATATCCCACTTCTCAGCTCAAGGTATCCAGATGTTCCCCCTCAAGGGGAGAGATCATGAGACATCACACAGTGTCAGTTAGAACCCCCAAAATACAGTTGATCCCTTTGTCATGTTCCATTTCTGACATGTAAATTGTAGCAATCACAGACCTGGCATATATATAAGAGTAAAACTCCAACATTTGTTTCCCATTTTGTCTTATTTACATGGATAATAAGATTTCTTCCCTTGAGAAATACTTGGAAAAAACTCCTACTCTTCCTATTTCTATTAGTTTCAAGAAGTTGTTTCAAAACAACGCTAAAGGATGATATGCCTAAAGTTATCACTTTAAGCTATAATAATCACATTAATATAAAATGTATTACTAAAGCCATGACAATTAGATCTTTAGTAAAGCTACTACTGATATCAGCAGTTATAGGTGAGTTCAAATGATAATTAAGAGATATTGGAGAGCGACAGCTTGAGTTACATGGCCTGATGGGAAATAATAATATTTTCTTTGAAATGAGTAACTTACATGAGAACCCAGAGGCAGCAGTAGAGGTAGATGCATTTGATATTGAGGTAAACAGCATAGTGTCTGAACTATTGGTGCTGGCAGCAGTAGATGCTGGAGTGAAACCTAAAGGTCAAAGTAACAAGTAGAAAAAAAGTTATTAAAATTTTTTTGAAAGTAAAACACCATTAAAATTCTGTATTATTATGGAGAAACAAAAACAAAGCAAGGAAAATCAGGTATGCTGAAACCTAATAAATATCACATAGTAAAAACCTGATTAAAAAAAATAGCTCACTGGTACAGCTTAGTATGGCCTAGCACATATGATCCTAGCACAATCATAACAAAGAAATTCTACTTTACTAAAAACAGTAAACAGAGGAGGGGAATCCACTTCCATAATGATGCCAATAAGAAGCCCACAAATCTGTTCCCCCAGTGAAACAACCATAACTCGTAAAAATTATAAAAAACAAAACAACCATTTGAAATCTCTGGAAATTGTCCTTAGGGCATAGAGCAAATGAAGAAACATTTATTTGAAAGAAATCTACTAAAACTCAATAAGAACAGTGATGGGTCTGTGGCATTTAAGCCACAACCCACTTCCTCCCTTCTTCTCCCTGTCCCCTTGCTCAGCTTGACAGAAGCTATACTCAAGGTGGGAGTGACCAAGAGGACTGAACTCTCTCTCCCAGCAGTTCTTAGTCAAGGGATACAGTATCTCAATGGGAGGGACAGGCAGCCATCATTTCTCATCACCTCCAACACTGAGCCCCCACTCACAGAACAAAGGCTCTACTGCAGTTGTGGCAGGCCAAGAATACTGGAGCCCTGATCACCCTTGCCATAATCACCTCACCCAAGCTCACTCATAGGACAGAGTTTCCATACCTGAAGAGAGAAAGAAGATCAC